CATGAAATCTATCTTGAAAAGTAGTGCTATTGAACAATAGACAGTAATTCAAATTTGTGAGGATTGATGGGTTTTAATCAGTTCAAGTGTGAGGACAAGTACTCATAAATGACAGTGGATGATGGTCGTCCTATATCATGAATTGACAGAAGTAGGAAGTTATTGACTATTGGGTGACTGAGTGACTGTTTAAGAATGTCAACGTAGAATCTCTCACTCGCGTGGATTGGCTCACGTTATCACACTCCACAGTAGCAGACAAAGAACGGATAGATAGAAAAGGAGTGATACTAAAGTAGATAAAGTTGAGTAAGAGAATAAACAATATAGATGTCAAGGAGTAAATACATTTGCGCTATTGTGACTGATCTTTAGCTATGCCACTAAGAGTCCTCAACTACTCGTTTCTTTTGTCTCGGGGGTCTCAACCAGGTAGTTTACACATAGATCAACACTGACAGAACACTGAGATCAACACTCAGAGGTTTCATCGACTGCTGCTAGATCTTAGTCTAGTCATTGTGAACCATCTTTCAACTTCCCCTAGCCTGGTAAGTTGGGATAGGCGGTGGTTTGCCACCCTATGGCTCTATGACCATAAGCTCACTGAGAATATTGACGTTTCAAATGTCTATCTCTGCTCTCAGACCTTCAATCATTCCCCCTGATGAATACCACTTCATAATCAGTCGATCTTAATAGACTTTCAAAAGTAATTAATGATATTTTGTTAGGTAGCAGAAATGAAAAGGATTGTCTACAATTTTTCTGTGAATGATATTATTGAATACTTTTGTAAAAAAAAATTAAGGGAATATAAATATTATTATTGATTATAAATAATGTTTCAACAGCTGTGAAACTGTAGTTAATTTCAGGTGTTCTGATAATGTAATGATGTTTACACCCATAGTTGTTTTAATACTAAGAATTTTGATACTTGCACAAAATTTACTATTTAATAAATATGTATTTTAGTCACTTATTTTCTAGGTATAAATCAACCATTTTTTAATCATTTTTTTAAGTGGTATCACTCATTTTCTTTCCTGTAATATAGTTTTTCAACATGATGAAGAACGGGGTGACAGGTGTTGTGTGTGCTGCCTATCCCTACAAACTTTAATAGACATATAGTAGTAGTAGTAGTGGTAGCAGTGGTCGTAGTAGTAGTAGTATTGGTAGTAGTAGTAGTAGTAGTATTGGTAGTAGTAGCAGTAGAAGTAGTATTGGTAGTAGTAGTAGTAGTACAAGTATTCGTAGTAGTAGTAGTAGTAGTACTGGTAGTATTAGTAGTAGTAATAGTAGTAGTAGAAGTATTGGTAGTAGTAGTAGTAGTAGTATTGGTAGTAGTAGTAGTAGTAGCAGTAGTGGTAGTGAAAAGCTACTTGATATTTCTTCGATACCAAAATATGTGATGAAAATTGTCTGCTTAATACCTCAAATGTAAACACATCGCATACGCATTTAAGTTCCTTATTAAGTAGTGAATTTTACCTACTTATTTATACGAATTAAATGTATCATCTGTTTGCTGAATGAATTTTGACGGTATTTCCTGCATAGATGAAACAAACATTGAAAGATCTCATGAAAAAGTATTCGAAACTGGCTTAGAAAAAGAGACTAAAGTTCAGGTGAACATATCAGACATGCAAATTTTAAAACAAATTACCTGAAAAACAGCTTTAGAATAATATGTATAGACTGTCTGAAGTGATGTACTCTAAGAATGACTACTTGGTCTGTAGAACCCTTCTTGGTGATATAATCATTACTGATTGATCAACTGTCCATATAGCTGAAAGATTATGATACAGAAACTATGAAATCTTAGGAATGACAATTGCTTCCTCCATACTGATAGTGTTAAAATGCAACTAAATTAGCGAAGGTGATTAAAAGAAGTATTGACGTGGGTTACTTTATCATACTCTGGAAGAAATATAATGAATAACTGATTGTTGCAGGGAAATTTACGACGGTATCAGTGAAATAAATGAAACGAATGACAGCAACATCCTATAGGATCATGAAACATTAGCAAAAGACAGTCCAGTGGAGATAATCTACTACTTGACAAATCACTTTTCAGTGGGTTTACATTTGTACATTTTATTACGAAACGAAGGTGTCCAACAATGGCTAGAAGGTTAACACACGGTCTTATTGGTAGAAAGTCCAAGAAATGAAACTCTAAGTCAATCGTGAATTGAACTGAATTATGATAGCCAATAAACTTCCATCATGCATATATTAAGGATTCATATCTTATCAGATAAGACTGAAATTTGAGGAACTAAGCGCCTCACATCCTAAAATCTGATAATTAAAGCATTTTCCATATGGGGAAATGCTACAATATCAGTTGCTAAATCAAAATAAAGAAAAAGTGAGTTAGGAAACTGGTTCCTAGTGGAACATAGGGATTCAGTAGCATGTCTCCATTCCACTCTGTTCTCTGCGATCTTTTGAACCTGGCTCCACGACAGCCCACAAGCTCTCATTTCCTCCTCGCAGGATCTCCTCCATGGCACCCTCGGATCCTCAACTCGTCGTTTCCCCTTTGCGTTCCATAGGACGACCTGGCCTGGCGCGTGATGTCCCCAGTTGGCCTTCTCAGTGTATGCCCAATCCAATCCATCTACACTTCCTTCTGCATATTTGTTGAGCGATAGGTTCTTGGTTGGTTCGTTGATAGGCAGAGTTCCTTGGTGTTCATTCTTCCTGGCCCCCTGAGTTTCAGTAACGAGCGAGAGTAGGCAGTTGTTGATGAATGTCTGTAATTTGTCGGAAATGCTTTTCGTGACGCGTCAAGTCTTTCAACCATCACACAGAAGCACTGACTTAACATTAGTGTTGAAAATTCGGATCCTATTCACGCTTTATGGTGAGTGCAGTGCAGAAAATCTCCACACTGGTTTCAGGTTGATGGACGCCTGTCTTGCTGTCTTTCCGATCATGGTTTCGACATCATCATCTGTGCCGCCACCTGTAACTGAATCAATATTGTTTTACGTAGGTAGCTGACAGAGACAACTTCCTTTAGGTTTCTCCCGTCCATGGGGATTGGTGTTTGTTATTGTTGGCTGGGTATCTTCATCCCCTCCGTCTTCTCTACGTTCATCTGAAGTCACGTCTTACTTCCCTGTATCGCCTATTCTGTCAACTCGATAGTTTTTGCCTGTAGATCTTCGAGTTTGTGCAACACTAGACATAAATCATCTGCGAAATCCAAATCGTATAGGGTCTTCTCATCGGTCCAGCTAGTGTATGACCATTTTCTCGCTCCTCAGGGTTTGCTGCATGATCCAGTCTAGTTGACCACAATGAGGAAGATCATTGATGATAGTGGGCGGCAGCCTTATCTTACTGCTGTCTTCACTTCAAAGGCGTCACTGAGCTTTCCACTGTGGATCACTTGGCGTGTGGTGTGTTCATATAGCTATCGGATGAGGTTGATAAAGATTAGTAGCACTCCATAGGGTTGAAGCAGTTGCCAAATAACTTCTCGGTAGACGCTGTCAAAGGCCTTTTCAAAGTCGATGAAGTTGAGGTAAAGATCCAGTTGAATGCTATTCTAAGCTCCGTTTTATGTTGATGCGTGGCATAACGTTGCAGTTTGATCCGTACATGATTTATTCTTCCTGAAGCCAGCCAGTCTGTTTCGGTAGTAATTTTGAATTCAGTGCATTGTTTAGTCTCTCCAGGATGATGCGGCTTAATATTTTGCTTCTGGTGGACAAGAGCATGATTCCGCGCCAGTTCTTTCAAAGACTTAAGTCGCCCTTCTTCGAGAGTTATATATTTACATGTTTACTGACCATAAATTTGTTGGTTGAAACTAAAAATCGATTATATCTTTTTTCTTCCGTCTAATATATCATTATACACCAAGAATGAGAAGTATTTACATGAAAAGTTTCTAGTAGAAATTAGAAGAATCCTAACAGATTTATTAACACTACCCATATAAATTATAGGATATCCTCTTAATTACATAAAGATGGATGAAGCGAGTATATCATGTGATTAGTTTACATAATATCGGTGAGTTCGCCGACTTTGCTACTAAGGGAAATCTTTACTCTGGTTTATAGAAGACCTGACTATGAAAAAGAATGACATGTTGACAAAATCATAATCAAATACTGTGATTAATGAATGGATCGATGCTCACAGTTGAGCACTTCTACAAATCTGAATATCTTCTGTAAAGATATTTCTGTAGTGATTTGTAGAATATACTATATATATATATATATATATATATATATATATATATATATATATATATATATATATATACAGACATCCATCAATAGCTGCCGCCTGCGCTCACTCGATACTGAAGATCAGATTGATGGTCAGAATAATAAGAATAAGCAACGAACCAACCAACAACCTATGACCCAACAAGAAGAAAGTGAAGATGGATTGAGCATGCACTGAGAAGGCCAATTGGGGACATCACTTGCCAGGCCATACCCTTGAGTGAAATCCAAAGGGGAAACGACTAGCTGAGGATCCGAAGATGTCATGGAAGAGATGGTGTAAAGAAGAAATGAAAGCTTCTGGGCAGTCGTGGCGACAGGTTGAAAAGACTTCAGAGAAAAGAATGCAATGGAGGCGAGTTAATGAAGCCCTGCTTTCCACTAGGAACCCAAGGGAAAAATTATATATATATATATATATATATATATATATATATATATATATATATATATATCAACAACTGTTTTTCTTGTCAGATCCAAGCTTTAAGCATCAATCCTATTTATATCAGGATTGAAATAAAAATAAATAAGTGTAAAAGGTGAGTATTTTTGCTTTACTAACTAAATAATCTGTTCACAGAGGTGAGATAAACTGGCAGATTACTGATCAGTATATATGAACATCATACCTAGTATATGCTTTTACTCTTTGAATTCAATGCTTCAATAGATTAAATTTAAAGTTTATAATCTTTATTTTTTTCATATTTTACTCTCATCCAGAACCATCATTTTATACACACATAACAAAAAATATACCTTGTGAAGAAATGGGTTCAACAGATATTCCTCATTCTATACAAATAAATATAAAAGATCCATGTAATATAGACTCTTCATATATGAATATGGATGAAAGATCAGGAAGACGTATGATTTCACCAACTGCAAATTATCCATCACGTATACGTTTAACAAATACAACTAGAATGCTACCTAAACCGGTAAGTGAATTCACTTCTGATAATTGAAAATAAGCTATAAAATAAACCAATTATAATGAATTCAGAATTTTTAATTGTAACCCTTCTTCAATCCTTTATATACACTTGATATACTGCAAGAAAACATTCATACCTAATAAATAACGTGAGCTAACAGAAGTTGGAAGTCTGGAGCATTGGATTCTGACCAAGTGGCTCAATGGTAGCGCGCTGGCCGCGGAACCTGAAGGTCGTGGGTTCGATTCCTGCTGGTGGGATCGTGGGTGCGCACTGCTGAGGAGTCCCATACTAGTGTGACGAAACAGCTGTCCAGTGCTCCCATGTTTCCTTTGTTCCTCCAATTGATGTCAGTCTTCGATGAATAACAACTTGAAATATTTCCAAATCTCCACAACCCCCTCAAAATTTAAATGATGAAATATAAATCCTCTATACTTAAAAATATGATTCATAGAATAATCAGTCTATACATATAACTGAGAATATATAGCTAAACAATTAAATCATGCACAAATGAAAACTTTATGAACTTTGGTAAGTAACTAGTTGATTTAGTGTATCTACGATATTGGTGCTGTCTACTTCTTCAAATAGACAACACACAAAAAATTGGTTAAGAGTTTGACACTCTAGCTGTTATGTGATTCTCATTTACAAACTGAATTTAACATAGAGAGGAAGACAGTGGCCACCTTAAATTTCCTAGGGCTGTTGTTCGACTGGTAAACTTTCTGTTTCCAATGGATCGTTTTGTCTCTATTCGACTGTGTTATCATCACTAGTTTGTGTATTTCTTCCATGAACAGCCTCTTTGATTTAACCATTTGACTACTGAACTGTGAGTTTTTAGTTCTAAGCTCACTCTGACTACATTAGCCTGAGTTAACCGGACAGTATCTTAAGAACTTGTGAACTAGTGTCTTATAACTTAGTACACAAAGCACGTATGACTCTGAGTTGCATCAAATGGTTTTGTTAATATGTCCTGTAATATTTTCATATTTTCATATGACCTACCGGTGCGTTGTTATGCCGGACTTGTAATGTCTAAGTCTGCACTATTTGTGCATATGCCTTGATTAGATCTAGGGTATATACAAATGTGGACATATCAACTGACAGGTATCGCTAAAAACTATGAAGTCATTTAATCCTGCTTCCATAAAATAGCTGTTTATATTAAAGAGAGAAACCTTAGCTAAATGCAAAAGCGTGAACATATGGTGTTCATTTGAAATCTGTTTTTTCTCACCTTACCTCATTATGTAGAGAATAATATGATACAGATTATTCATAGAGAATAGTTGAATCAAGAAAAATGCAGTGTTTAACATATCTGCACATAAACGTTGTTGGTTTAGAATAGGCCACCATTATCGATAAATATAAACAAAACCACATTCTATTAATGATGGATCATGGCTAGCAGTGGAATCGTATTTCGTCCTACCTGGGACTCGTCAGCTGAATGTACCTGCTTTCCAGTGAGTGATGTTATTCCCACCGGGATTCGAACTCAGGAGCAATTACTTCAAACGCCAGCACGTTGTCCACTACATCACCGAACCACGATAGACATTACTTGTGCGATGGGTATAGTTTCAGTGTCATTGCTTGTATGACACCGTCGTTGATTGGACCGAAATGATCGACCTTTGTTGCCATATGGGCTCCTATGCGGATGCTTCGATATTGCCTGGATTCCACTGCTAGCAACGATCCATCATTAATATAATTACAACGTAGGCAACATCGAGGCATCCACACAGGAGCCCATATGCCAATAGAGACCGATCAATTTGGTCCAAGCAACGACGGTATCATATAAAAACAATTATACTGAAACCACATCCTTTCTACAGTCTAAGATTACTGAAATGCTATCTTTCCAAAAGAAATATTTTAGCAAACCGATAAAGTAAGGTGACACAGTAATGCGAAAGTAAAACTCAGGCACTGGTAGGATGAAATTCCATATCAGACTTGTTTATTTGATCTATAACACATAGTATTGTTTGCTTGATGTTTCAAACATAAATTATCGCTCATAATCATATCAGTATAATCACACTGGTTTTGACATCTGAATTTTAATAGTCCTATCACCACTTATTCTTCATTTATATGAGTGGTAAAATCTTTCATAACTCTGGTACAGGTGTTGTATCATTATTACTATCACATGTGTTGGGTATAGATCCGTTGAACAGAGATTCAGTAATCAATTACTCTCTCCACCTTATTGTTTTGGACTTGAGTACAGTAGCTTTATTCCACCTACCCTATTGTGTTTATTATTATCATTGTTTATTATTTGTCCCTTGGGTTCCTAATGAAGTATATGGATTCAGTAGCACGTCTCTGTTCAACTCTCTTCTCTGCAATCTCTTCAACCTGGCTCCACGACTGTCCACAACCTCTCATTTCTTCCTCACACTATCTCCTCCACGTCACCCTCACCTCGGGCGCCCAACTCGTCGCTTCTCATCGGAGTTTCACACCCTGGCCTGACGCGTGATGTCTCCAGTCGGTCTTATCGCTGTATGCGAAATCCATCTACACTTCCTTCTGGCCATCATATCTTCAGGAGCGAGCATAGTCGGCAGTTGTTGGTGAATAACTGTAATTTGTTAGAAATGCTTTTTGTAATGCACTAAGTCTCTCAACCATACACGAGCACTGATTTGACATTTTGGTGTTCAAAATCTGGATGTTGATCATACTTTATGCTGAGTGCAGTGCAGAAGATCTCCACACTGGTTTCAGGTTAATAAACGCCTGTCTTACTTTCCCGATCCTGGCTGGCTTTCACGCCCTCGTCTGTGCCTGTACCACATGTAGTTGAAAAGATGCTGCCTACACAGGTGAAAGAGGCTACTTCATTTAACTTTCTCCCATTCATGGTCATTGCAGCTTGTTTTGTTGTTGTTGTTGTTGGTGTTGTTGTTGATTAGCTATCATCATCACCTCCATCTTCTCTACATTCAATTGAAGGAAATCCCGTCTTCCTTCACTGTCTTGCCTCTTCTGTCAGCTTGTTAGTTTTCGCCTGTAGATCTTCAAGTTTGTGTGACAAGACATTAGACACAAGTCATCACTGGTGAAATCCAAATCTTCTCGGATGTTTTATCGGTCCAGTGAGTGTATGCCGCTCTTCTCACTGCTCACTGTTTGTTGCATGATCCAGTGCAGTGGATCTCAATCAGGAATATCATGGGTGATAGTGAGTGGCAGCCTTGTCTCACTCCTGTCTCCTGTCTTCACTTCAAAAGCATCACTGAGCTTCCCATTATGAATTACTTGGCTGTCATGTGGCGTCTTCATATAGTTGTTGAATGAGATTGACAAAGGTTTATGGCACTGAGACCGTTATGTTGAAGCAGTTTCCAGATTACTTCTTGGTTGACGCTGTCGGAGGCCTTTTCCAAAGTCAATGAAGCTGAGTTTGAGTTGACTGTTATTCTATACTCTGTTCTGTGATGATGCGTAGTGCAGCGTCGCGATTCGGTCCGCACATGATTTGTATTTCCTGAAGCCTGTTTGTCTGTTCCGGTTGTGGTTTTGAACCCAGCGAATCCTTTAGCTTCTCCAAGATGATGTGGCTTAATATGTTGCTTACTCCGGGTGGACTGGAGAGTGATTCCTCGCTAGTTCTTGCAAACACTGATGTCTCCCTTCTTCGGCAGTTTGACAAGGTAACCCTTCTTCCAATAAATATGCAGGTACCTTCCCTTCCTTCCACACCTTCTGCAATAGTGGTGTGGTGTGAGCATGTCCGGTGTTGTTTCTGCGTCTGTTTGCGGTGCTTCTGGTGGAATTCTATCTGGTCCTGCTGCTTTCTCGCATTTCATTAGCTTTATGGCGTTCAGGACTTCCACTTTTGTTAACTCGTAGTTCTGTAACTGGGTTGCTAGTGGTATTTCTGGTCGATTGAAGAGCTTCTTGAAGTGGTCAGTCCATTGTTTCCCTTGTTTCTGTTCTTTGGTAATTATATTTCCTTCATCACCTTTTATTGGTTTCGTCTGTGTTGATCTCTACTCTGCCAGATGGTAACCTGGTTATTTGATACAATGTTGTCAGGTCTCTCCTACCTGCAGGCTGCAGCCTGTTCTGCTTCACTTGCCAGTGTTTGGTAGAAGTGTCTTTTGTCTTTCCGTGCACTCTTCTTCTTCACCTCTTTGTCCAGTGTAGTGTTTTATACATTGTACTCAGTTCCTCTTGTCGTTGAGCATCCTTGCACTGGTTTATCTTCTGCTTCACCATCCTCCTCTCCCTGCTCTATCAGCTTCCATGTGTCCATCGAGATCCATTCCTTATCTTATTTCCTTCTCCTTCCTACTACGGTTATGCAGGTTTCCTTCCACATAACTTTCGAAGACTTCCAGTGTTCTTCCACACAGGTTTCTTTGGAGATGTTCCTTGATATTTCCCATTTTGTCTTGATGGCCGACTGGTGTGAAGATTTCCTTTATAGTTTCATCCTTCAGTTTCCGAGTGTTTTACTCGAACCGTGGTCTATCACCAGCTTCCTTGAAGGCTTTCAACTTGATTTGGAAGGTTCCTTGCACTAGATAGTGAGTGGTGTGAACCTACATCTGCTCCTCTTCTTGACCTTGTGTCAAGTAGATTGCGTCTCCATTTTCTTGAGATTGAGATCAAGTCTATCTGATTTTTACTGTGTCCATCTGGTGATATCCATGTCGCTCGCTTTGTGGATATCCTTGTGCTTGAACACACCACCTACAATCACCAAATCGCTGAATGCACAGAATTCTGCAAACAATTCTCCATTCTTATTCATCATTTCACCGAGCGCTTCTCGACCCATGGTTAGTTCTCTTCCTGTGTTGTCCGCTCCCAGTTTGGCATTCATGTCGCCCATTAGAATGGATTTTGATATCGCCAACTGACGTCTTGTCCAGTGTTGATTGAAGTTGTCTGTAGAATTCCTCCTTCTTCGCTTCTTTTCATCTGCATTATTTGTAGGTGCGTAGCGTAAC